TTATGAAATAAATATACTCAAGTTTATGTTTTAACCATTAAAGAAATAGTAAGCAACAATATCATATTATTGGTCACAGAAAAAAAAAATTACCCAAAAATAAGTTGCCTTGACGCAATTCGATTGAAGAACATCTTCGCGATTTTTTATTTAACCGGAGTTTAACAAAATAAAAAAAAATGCAACAGGCCCCTCCCTTAAGCCCCCTCCAGATAAATTTTCTAGCTACCCAATGGATACAGACCAGCGCAATGTTCTACAACGCATAAGAACAATTAATTTGTAGTAACTTCGATGAATAATGCAATTTATTACATCTAATGGTTCAAGTTTTTTACTTGTTTTACTTGTTTTTAAGAAATATAGGGTGACTCCTAAAAATAAACTTTTTTGCTGTTTTATTTATAAAAGATAAATCGACCTAAACAAAACAAACTTTCACAGTTTTCTCACTCTCTATTAATGAAAGTACGGACTTTCAGATGCAATTAAATGCTTAAAAATTGACCACTTACAGCTCAAGTGGCTGTTATTCGCAGTCCCGGTCCAAATCGTCATCGATATGCAATCACCCATATTCTTGTTTTCGTTCGAACCGTATTTTCCATGCAAAAAAACTTCGAACGACAACAAGAATACGGTTTAATATCTCGAGAAGGCTGCTCTCTTTTCGTATGCATGATCACAAGATTGATGCAAAATTCTAATTTTCACTCCACAGTGCTCAAACGGTTCCAAATTGGGTCCGGATTAGCTTTCCAAAATTTTAACTTATTGAGTAAGAAACTGATTTGGCACTAACCATTTGATGTTTATTTTGAAAAGAGTATGGGAAAACCAATTGTTTTGTTCATTTCTATCTAAAAATTCACCATATCGCTTTGTTTAAAAAAATGATAGCTATGCTCAGCTACAACTTTGTTGAAAATCACAAAAGAACAAAAGTTATTAATGATTCAAGTCACTGATTTATTATGAATATGCTCAAACAACTGTTCAGCAGGCAACATTGGTGTTTCTGGCGTGAAGAATAGAGCACAAAAATCATGGCTACTATGTCACTTTTCAGAATACAGTGTTGCCTACAAGACAGCTGCTTGAACATGCCACAGGGTTATCAGTTAAATAACTATTTGAATTGATGATTGGCCAAAATTCAATCTTCTGCAAAGTTGTAGCTATGAACCTCGAGTAAGCCGCGAGTAATCGGCCCAACTCCTACTAGACATAGAATTAAGTGAATTTTGTTACACACAGTGAACAATGAATTATCGGCTCCGTAAAGCTAACGCGATTAAGCCTTCCAAATAAACGAACTAGATAAAAAAAAGTTGTAGCTGAGAAAGTTTCCCATACGAATATTTGTAGAACTTCCTAACAATATGGAAAAGGCTAGAAGTCAATGATCCAAAAATTTGGTTTTTCCATATTAATTTCCATATAGACTTCAAATGGTTTGTGCCAAGTCAGGTTCGTATCAATTGAGTTCAAATTTTGCGAGGCTAATCAAGACCCAATTTGGAACCGCTTGAGCACTGTGGAGCTACAATTCCAAATTTTGCATAAGTCTAATGATCACCAGTCAGAACGTGAAGCAGATGGCTTTGACATGTATATGATGTAGTCCCATCATATTTAATAAAGGAACCCATAATTTAACCGCTTTTCAGTGCTTCATTTACATTTCTCCGTCGACATTGTTGTTATCGGTTCAGCCGGAGGTGCTGATTTCTATTAGCAAATTTAGCTTCGTCTATCTATCGGGATTTTCTAGTCCGATACCGAATACGATAGGGTTACGATCACATTTTTCTCAGCATGTCCATTTGTTGACAGAGTAGTGGGTGATATTATGATACACTTTTCTAACACCAAACAGCAACAATATATGCTTTTTGTTCTAGTTGCATCCGAACGGTTTTATAATTGCTTTTACAATGATAAAACACCTTTTTGGAATGTTTTGTCTAGACATCAATAAACATACACTAACGAGGTTTATGATTGGTTTACAAAACAGTTTTATTAAGGGATAGAGTGCTTCATTTCTAAAACCAGGCAGTTTTTGATTTTATCGACTTTAAAAAGTTTTCAAGACAGCTTAAGAACTTTTCAAAACCAAAACCAAAACAAACAAAAAAGCTGAGCTACTGGTCAAGAAAGTTTTGCACTTCTAAATGCGGTACTGCCGTTCTACGCATATCTGTCCCATGTTCTAAAAGTAGCATCTGAGAAAAACGCGGAAAATGTTTCCGATCATTTCTGCTCAACTGGCAGCATATATAATAAGTGCATTGTTAACATTTCAACAGAACTAACATATTTTGGTGGAAGCTGTCAACATTACCTGCATTGAAATCAGTTAAGCATATTTTTATACGAAAAATATTCAGTGGGACTATTATGCCAAGCAATTTACCATGAAGTAGAAAATTCTACGCATTTAAGTCCCACTACGAACTATTTATTTCCGTGTGGCTTTGATGGGCACGTTGCTTTTGATGTCTTCACTCTAGTGTTTTCATGGGCGTGCTTGATTTTTTGACGAAATTTTGGAAGTTTTTAGTTAGTAAAAGATTGCATAGGTTTCCTATTTACTGATACCAACCATGAGTCCGTTGACAATGCTGCAAACATCGTGAAACCTGACTGAGGTTTCAAATCTCGTACATTTGCCGCAACAAAGACCATCCGGAAAGCAAATGCACAACCCTTGTGCTACAAGACTGTTGAAATGACTAATCCAATCATGCAGAAGGTGACACCAGTGTTGCCGCATTTTCTCAAATTTCAATCTGTATTTTCGTCGCAAAAAATCCTTTTAATATCTGTATCTGTCTGACAAAAATCTGTTAAAAAAATCTGTATAACTTTTTTATTATTGGCATTCACGTAAATCTCTATTGACTTCAGAAAGAGTTTGTTCAATGTTTGAAATCTCGATAAATGACAAAATATGATTTCTATAGAATTTATCAAAAATTTGCTCTCAACAACTTGAAGAGACTTGCAGAAACAATCGAGTTGTAGAAAAACAATTCCATGCAAAATCACTATCATAGTAGCCATTCAATTCATTTTTTTTTGTAATTACTTTATTTGTACAGGCTCAATCGAATAAACTTTACAGAGCTGAGTTATCCTTTGCGTTATACATTATTTAAAGTTAAAGGAACTGGACCGAGTACTCGCGGTCGTCTCGAGGTTAGTGGAGATTTACAATGTTTTTTGGATGGGAAAAGGGAAGAAGGAGGTTTTAAATGTGGTTTACGATACAACTATTTAATTAATCCTAAAGCATGAAATCATTCCATTCATGTGTACTATGGTTCTATAATTCGATAGCGAGCTAGTGGACATCGAGTTAGGGAGAGTTGACAGTATTTTTAAAAGCTCGAAATCCAACAAGCTTGATATTTTAAAGGATTTTTATCTTTTCTATAAGTCTGAAAACACTGAAAATAAGTTCCAGTAGTTAAGGCAAATCTACTCATTAACAAGATGAACGTAGGTCTAAAGGAGATTGTCCTTAATTATTTTGAGTTCGTCCATACATTTATAAAATTGAAATGTTTCAAATTAAAACTCTGCTTAGTGTTTTAATAAGAATTATCTTCTCTTGCTAATTTTTAAATAAACAATAAAACTTCTACCACCCGAAATGGCTCATACCGTTTCTTGTGATCCTAGAAGCCCTGTTTCAATCATTCTTGAACTCTATTCGATGCGTTAATTATTGAATCAGTAAAACAAATCTTTGTGGGACAGTTATGCATAGAATTTCAACATGGAACAATTAGACATGATATTGGTTTTATATACACTACCGATCATAACTTTAAGGACATCCCCAAAAAACCATGCAAATATGCTTTGTTCAATGATCTCTCATTTTACGTTCAATTTTTGATCTCCAAAGGTTATTTGAATGGTATGAATGGTATAGCATAAGTGTTCTACTACAACTTTTATTTCAAAATTTGCCCAACCTAATTCTAAGAAAATCAGTCACGATTCTTCAGAGTAAATTTTGAAAAATATTGTAACTTTGGGTGAACTTTTAGCACACAAAATTGGAAGATTATATTGAACAATTTGCCTACGAGGAAAGTTCCATTTCAAATGATCTAAAGAGAACGAAAATTGGACGTAAAATGACAGAGATATGAACATAACTAAATCGCATTTGAAGCTTATTGCTTATTGCGTGCTCTCAACTTAGTGTTCTAGGTGCACTTCCACAGTTATAAAGTGAGAGCTTTCGATGCCTGTACCATTTTTGCATGAGTTTAATTATGTGGCAAGTACAATCACAGGGAAGTCGAGAAATTTTCCAACCTAAAAAATTCCTAAACTGGACCGGGAATCGCACCCAGCCACCTTCAGCATGGTCTTGCTTTGTAACTACGCCTTTACCAACTGAGCTTAGGGAGGCCCCAAGGACCAATTTATTTCACTTAAACACAACTTCTGGACCACTGTGGAGTGTGATTCCTAACGTCAATTCAGCAAATAGTCCATATGAAAAGCAGGGTATGATCAGAATTTCTGAATATTTAAATAATATATGTTTTTCAAAAGCATTTGTTTCCGTTGAACAACCATGTTCCAATTGAGCGTGTACTTCTCTGATGAATTCCACCATTTAGCAGCACTGAACGCACTCACTCGCTCCCTGAACACAAGCACACAAGTTGGCTCCGAGACCTCACCATAAAATACGTAACAATCACCCACCTTGAACGACACCATACCTCCCAAAGGCAACCGTTCCATTCAACCCAACAACCCATCGTTTATGTTTACGACCATCTGCACTCTATCTTCGTTTCGTTGCATCATTTATGCTACGAACATATCACTCTCTCCCAACTCGGATGGGCGTCTATCCGACGACAACAGCGCTAGTAGTAGTGATGAAGGTCTACAATCTGAGAGAAAAACATATTTGTTTCGCCGTCGACTCAACTGAAAACTCGACTCTGCTGGATGTATGCTTTTTTGTTGCTCTCGGAACGTCGTACCGTTCGTATCGGATGGACGGCTAGATAGATAGATAGATAGATAGATAGTTAGCACTACAGACTGGCTGCCCCTCGGACTGGGCGGGCAGCGAGAATAAGATTACAACGACCAAAAGGTAGAAAGTTGGCTGTGTTCTAGTTCTGATTCTGAAACTCCGAGTTTAGCGAGGCTGTCCGTGTAGGTGTACGTGTGTGCAGAGACATAAATAGCTGTGTGGTTCTGGAGAAAATAAAGAACTCCAAAACGGATAGGAGCTGTCCGATTGAGGTAGAACTTTCGAAATGTGAAAATATTTAGTTTCGACTGAAGCGCGAGTCAGACCGGGAACCAAAAGTGCTGAAACATGAGTTAAAAGTTGCAAATGAGCGCACCCGGGGCGAACACAAAGGTTTTCACGTTTTATTGTTGTCGCCGTGGCTCCAGCAGGGCAGAACGTAATAAAAGCTACGACAGCAGAAATAATTCGTGTGTGGTGTGTTGTACGTAGATCGAAATGAGTTTCCGTGGAAAATTTAATTGAAAATTGAAATTTCGCGCAGAGATAGAGGGGTGAGCTAGGGAGGAAGAGGGGGCCTAGCCTAATGTTTGGCCTGCCCGAATCGTGTGGCCAATAAAGCTCCAGCTGCGAGAGAAAGTGAAAAGAAGTGCATATTTTTTTTTTCTGTTCGCCGGTGCATTGTGAGTGAGGCGAGATAATTTAAAGGAGATCTGCCTGCAAACTTTTATGCGTGAAAAATGGCTCACTTCTCCATCTCGGAAATGCCGGACATGAAAGTGACGGATACGTTCCCGAAGAGCGGCCGTGTCACCGAAGGTTAGTAGGACACATAGGTTGTTGTTTTTGTACTTTGTTTGCTTACGATGAGTTCACTCCCAGTATTAAATTTCACGTGCTACCCATGAAACGTTCATAGAAGGAAACGGACAGGCAAACACGTTGCAGTCGACTCGATTGCGATAAGGAATTACATTCATATTTATATTTTCATGTGCCATCGGCGAGTTGTGATATGGGTCAAATTAACTGCGTCCGAGAGGCACCAATTGCTCTGCTATGAGGTTTGTAGTGAGAGCGAAGCAAAAGATTTAATTGCATATTCGTCGTCTCAAAAATTTCATTTTTGTCCCAAATCTTTGCTGTTCTGCGGTGCTCAACTGGCAAACAATCCATCGAACGACGCTTCAATTTCCCCGGTCGTTCTCACCACTGGAGCGGCAAATTGTCTTCAATTAAAGAAGCAACATGAATTGAATTGAATTAAGCTCGCGTATTTGCGATCGGCGTTACGACTAACGACGAAAATAAAATACATCAAGAAATGATGCATACAAACTGAAACTGAAAGACAACTTGGAGCATCTGCCCTTGCCTTGCTCGCTCGGTCTTAAGTTTTGCCACGCGGTAAAACTACATTGGAGCACAACTATCAGGTCACGCAAAATGTATACACATACAAAGTTGGCTTGTGCAGGTTTCTTCGTCTTAATTATCGCTGCGCCTTTAACTGATCGGGTGGAGTCAGCAGAGCGCACAGAGGGTGCAATTATCTGCCTGTAAGACTCTGTTAGACTGGGAAGATGGTATTGGATGCAGAGAAGGAACTATGCATGATGGCGTTGAGTGTTCGACAATTTCTACTGCTACAGATATTATGAATTAAATATACCGTACCATTTGCAACGCTACTTTTCCAAAAAATAAATTGATTATTTTCGGCATTGGCGTAGCTGATAGCAGTACCTAAGGTGCCTCAGGGAATGAGATGGACCACCCTCCCCCCTGGAATAAGACCAGCAAAATGTCTTGCTGTTGGACTTCACATTTTGTAGGATCTATAAATTTTTAAATCATCAAAAATAATGTAATGAGGGTTGGCTATGCCCTTGGCAAACCCTTTAAATGATGCTTCTGTTGAAATCAGGACTGTAGAGTCGGAGTCATGAAATCGGGCGCATTTTTGAACAAAAGGAGTCGGAGTCTGTGTCGGAAAAAAGTACCGACTCCAATTCCGTCTCCGACTGTTATGAAACATGATTTTAAACATGAGCGCAGAAGACAAGCTCTCAAAACTTATCTTAAGTGTTTGCAGTTTTCATTAAGCTTGTTGTACAACCATGGATTTAATTGAACGTTCTAAAAATGTTTAAGCTTGCGTGAACTACTAGACTTATGTGAAAACCTCAATAATTTTCTTAACATCTCTAAAGTTCTCTGAAAATCTGGGAATTTCTTGAAAATTCTCGCTAATTTAGTGAAACTAATGGACTGAACTCCCCTCAAATTCCCTTTTGTTTTTGAGCTTTACTAAACTTTTTTGAGATGCTCCCGAAATGTCCATAAAAGTTCCTGAAGTTCTCGGATCTTCCTTTAAGTTCCATAGACTTTTATGAAGTTCTCGAAAAGTTTCTATAGGTCTCTGTACTTCTATGAAGTTTTCGAAGATATTTTGAAATTTCAGGAACTTCTCTTAGCTTTCTCAGCGAAATAATCACAATAGTTCTACGATTTTCACTGAAGTTCTAAAGATTTGTCTGAAGTTCAAATTATTGGAACTAATTCATATCTTCTTCAATAGTCTAGAGTTTCCTGATGTTTCTAAAACTGCCCAAAATATTTCTCAATTTCCTTAAAATTCTGTAGACTGCCCTGAATATCTTAGTATTTTTTTTTTTTGATGAACCCACCATTTTACTGAAATTGATTTAATTGTTCAACAATTTTCCTTAAATTTTATAAAGTTTATAAAAGCTCACGGAACTTTGCCTTAAATCACTAATCTTCCCTGGAAAGCATGGACATTAGAGTGATGCAAAATTTGAAATTTTCGCTCCACAATACTAACGATTCCAAATCGGATCCTGACTAACCTACAAAATTTGAACCCATTTGGTGAGAAACTGAGATGGCACAAACCATTTGAAGTTTGTATGGGAATTACTATAGCAAAACCAAAATTTTTGTTCATTTCTATCTAAAAATTCACCATATCGGTCTGCTTCAAAAGCTTTCAACTGTACTTGTAGGAAATTTTCCAAGCTACAACTTTTCTTAAGACCACTTTTTGATTAAATGCAAGGATCGAAAGTTATCAATGGTTCAATGCGCTGATGTCTTATGATCATGCTCAATCAACAGCTCAGCAGGCAACATTGCTGTTTCTGGGGCGTTGAATAGGACACAAAAATTATGGCTACTATGTCACACTTCAAAATACAGTGTTGCCTACAGAGCAGCTGCTTGATCATGTATAAGTTTACCAATCTCTTAAATAATTAATAACTTTTTCCTGTCTCGTTTAACATAGAAACGATCTTCAGCAAAGTTGTAGCTGAGAAAATTTTCTATAAGAATGGTTATCAAACTGTTTCGGTAATGAACAAAAAGGTGAGATTTCCCATAGTAATTTACATGTAAATTTCAAATGGCTTGTGCGAAGTCTGTTCCTAACCAAATGAGTTGTAACTTTGGGAGGCTAATCAGGACTCGATTTGAAACCATTTAAGCACTGTGGAGCGAAAAAGTCAAATTTTGCATCAGTCCATTGGACATACCAGAAGTTTTCTATGCTTACCTTAACTTCTTTTAAATGATCAAATGTTCCGGTAAATTTTCTGATATATATCTATAATTCCCTCAAGCTTCTAAAGTTTTCGCATCAATCATAGAATTATCAGAATATCCTATAATTCTAAGGAACTCCTTGAAAGTCACTGCAAATTTCCTTAAGTTAATGTGATTTTTCTGATGTTATCTGATCGTCCTCGAAGTACTCGCAACTTCACTGAATATAATGAATCAATCTAAAAATAAATAAATTTCTTAGAAGTTCTCTGGAATTTCTTGAGAATTATCGGTGCTTGCTAAAAGTTCTCGACTTTTTTTATTAATGGAACCTCGTTGATGTCCTCTAATCAACTTAGCTAAATTTTCGAATTTTCGTACATCTTGAAATTTCGATTAAATAACACCACTGAAATACTCTCACATTTTCCGGATGTTCCTATCATTTTTATTGCGTTCCAGAAATTTTCTCTGAGCAATCCGAAGTTTCCGGAAATTACGGTTTCTGCAATTTCCTTGACATTTTTGGAACTGCCCTTTAATTCTCTGATCGGTCTTGATGTTCTCGGAGCTTCCATAAAACTCTCAACTCTAATGAAGATCTCGGTTCTGCTTTAAAATAAATGGAATTCTCGTAAACACCCTTAAATATCTCTGGAATTCTCTGGATTTCCGTGAAGTTCCTGAAATATTTTTGAAGTTTTCATAAATTTTCTGAACGTCTCTGTAATGAATCTTTCGGAACATCTTGAGGGTTCTCGATTTTATTTCAGCACATCATGGAACTATCGTGATTTTGTCTAAACTCACCCTTAAAACTTTTTAAAGTTTCGGGGACTTAAGATCTCTGGAATTCACCAAAGATCTCTGGATCTAGCTTTTCTGATATCAATAGAACTTCATGAAAGGTTCCACATTTTTGTTAGAAACGTCAAGGCATTCAAAATGTTGTGATCTTAGACTTACTTAAATTAAGTAAGTGTTCAACTTCAACATTTAATAGATTTAATAGTAAAGCTGTTTCTTTAAAACTGATTGTCATGTCTTAAGAACGTTTGCGTTAAAGAAATATTTTTAACACATTTCATAAATAGCATTCTTATTATAAACCTGGTAATTATCCGCCAAAGTTATGGAAAAACTCAGGGAACTTTATTTAGCCAAACATTTAGACACCCTGTAGAACGAGAAGAACGATTTAACGTAAAAAAGCTCTTTACAAGCTCGTCAACTTTGAATTGTTCAAAAAATAGGACAAAATGGGAAGAATGATCAATCTTGAAATAAATTCACGTTTAAAAAAGTTTAAAATAGTGACTTATCACAAGGAAAAGTGACTTTAGTGACCTGGCCTTAAAAAAAGACTTTTTAGTGACTGACTTGAAAAAAGTGACCAAGTCACTAAAAAGTGACTCGCTACCAGCCCTGGAAGGGGCATAACTGAGCACGCTTTTCCATTTCCATTGACTTGCATTCGCGAACACATAAAGCAAGGAAAAAAACATACCAGTTACGAATCCTGATGAATGTTGGCGTCTTAGTGGAATACCTGTATAATGAGAGAGAGAAGGATTAGTATTTTCCATTTAATTCCACTACTTTATTTGCTTATCCTTGACAGATACGCGTATTTCGTCTACAATGTGCAGACTTCTTCAGTGTCTTGTACTAATACTCGACTGAAGAAAAACATCGCATTTACCGAATATATATTAACACAGGTACATTTTCACTTAGAAACTAGGTAAACTTAAATTTAATTTTCTATAGGAACAGGTACTCCGCTGCTTACTCGTTGATGCGTCCTAGGTAGTAACTTGAAAAGCCATGTGTGTCCGTTTCCTTGATCCCTGAATTTACGTCACAGTCGACCAGCAGATGGAAATGATGTGAAAAATGATAATGACGTTTTGCTACCTGTCAAATCGTGTGGAAGATGTTTTAATACATCATCAGTTTTATAATTGCAAATCTGAAAACTAGGTGGCCAGTTCTACCTTTGCTTAAATTCATCACGAGTGGAAGTGATTTGGCAGACCCTTTTGTAGAAGAAAATTTCGGCTGCTCTTCCTCTTCCACTATTCTAACGTAACCTGTTTTCTCAGAGCTCCGATAAGATCGATTGTGCGGCTTCAGCTTGTGTCGTTGGGGATCAACTATCTGATGGCTGTGTTAGGGGTGAGCACCTTGCTTTCGAAGAAAATGTATGGGAAATTTTAATATTTCCATATTTCTTCATTGTTAACTATTTA